AAGGGGAAAGTACCAGAAAAAAGCTTGAGAACAGCTGCTCCCAGGAGCTATTTAATTACATGGGTCATGTGTACAGCACATAATCATCAGTGAAAGGGGTATTAAATTCAGACTGAGTGAGGCCAATATATAATATGACCTTTGTCATTGGGTCTCAGTTTGTGTGAGAACAGAATTTACTGGCAGCAGCAGCAAGAAGATTTTACAGTGATAGAAAAAAGGGAATTTGAAGACAAGAGGTGAGACAAAATGAATCTACTTGCAGAATGCCTGCCTGCCTTTAATGCCCCACATCCATTCAGTGTGTGAAGTGGATGTGCTGTAAATGTTTGCTTTCCAAACCTTTATAAATCATGGCGTGCTATGGCGGGCTTGTTCTCTCCTTCTGTCTCCTCATCCCTCGTCCTCAAGCCTCTCCACAGCCTCGCTCTCAGGTAGGAACTCTGTTGCCATGGTGATTTCAATTGCTGTTACTGCACGATGAGAGGACTCCCTGGCGGAGGGGGGGATGCTTCATATTTACATTCCCAGACATTCATAGTGGTTGTCTCCACCAACATGTCTGTCACTCCAGTGTATAACATTTCAGACCAGATATGAACAGCAGCATTAAAGAATTAGAAAATGTTTATTGTGTACACACATAGTAGTACTATTACTGGCTGGGTCAGTATCACAGAGCACATACTGCTTTTATATATATGTACCATAGATTATTTTCTCATCTAGAGTGAACAATGATGCTCCAAGTGCTATACAAGTATAAGACCACTTAACTAAAGAAAGAGTTGAAGACAGAAGGCATAAAAAGGTGCACTGAGATCTATGAAGAGCTGGTGTGCATCTTTGCTGTCACATTTTTCAGCCTCTGGGGAGCTGTGTTACAGTATGACAAGCTACTAAACCTCCCTAATGACAGTGTGTAAACCTTCCAGTGGGTCTTATGGCTGGGTTACAGGCTTCAGAACAGAAACAGCATTGATTCAAATTCCTCTGTTAACATAATAGTAAGTTAGAGTTCAGTCTGCAGCTCAAAAGCCCTGAGTGTCAGTCAGTTTGCTATGGAGGTAGCTTCTCTCCTCTGCTGTGACCTGTAGATGTGTGCAGCTCTACCAGGTTAATAGCTTGTGGTCGATGCGGTACTTATGATTGATCCGAATTTCAGCGGCTCAGTATTTCTAATTCCATTGCCAGCATCATAATAAATAGAAATCAGATTTGTTTAGCTGTGGAAGTCAGAGCTCTGTCCCTCTGCTCTTTATGTGTTCATGGTCTCAGTATTGTGTCTGTTTTTCACTTGACAGGTGTTTTTGCCCAATTGCTCTGAAACCATTAAGGCTGTTTTTCTTTCAGGCAGGTTGCTAACCTCTCTGCTTAACACACATCCTTGCGCTCATCACTGACAGTGTCCATACAAAGACATTCATTCATTTTCAGGAGACTTACCTTAACTTTAGCCAGAACCACTGCTTGTCTAACCTTAACCCTTAACCAAAGCTGACACCTGCTCTAACTACACACCCTGTCATATTCATAAAATGTGATGAATATTGATGAGCACTGCTTCGGTCCTCCCGAAGCAGTGTGCTCCAAGTGTTCCATCCCCAGAAGTATATATAAACAAATCTTTGTGAGGATACTCAATGACATAATGCATTGCCTATCCCCTTACACTAACCTTAACCGTCAGTAACAACAAAAAAAAATTTTTTAGTCATCATTGTGTAGCAAGAACACACAAACATCCTCATCCATCAACCCCCAATTCCAACCCCAACATCCCCAACTACTTTCCAGCTTCCAGCAGCGCTCCACATCAACTTGCATTAAAATGGGCAAGTTGCTATGGCAACCCCATACAGCAGCATATTATTCCCCTTTCAAAATTCAAAAGGGGATCAATTAGTGATGATGTCACTGCATCAGACCAACCACTCAAATCGTGATCATGATGCCTTCAGCTGAGGCCGGCATGTGTATAAGAACATGTGTTACACACATGCACACTCAGTGATCTGAAAATGAGGGAAAGTTAAAATGTGAGGATTCATTCTTGTCTCTGCAGCTCAGGGGGAAGGATGATAGCAGTCTTAAGGAGCTTGAGTCACCACTAAACACTGTGTGGGAGGACTGGATGGCAGCAGGATGGAGGATACCAGCAGGATGAAATGCATAGACTTTCAACATGAGGGTTAGATGAAAAAGAGAAATCAGATATGCGTTACAATTTTAGTGCAGGAGGGGAAAAAACGGACAAACCAAGTAAAATCCACTGCCCTCTATGGTAGTTCTCCAAGAGCAGAATAATGTGCTTGGCAGCAAACACAGAGCTCACCCTGCCTTTTCTCTGACTGAAAATTGATATAATAACCCACCTCCTACTTCTATAACCCTGCTGCTACTCTGCATCCACATAACTTGCATATCCTGGCAGAAGAACATAAAACACTGAGGATATGGACATTCATAAAGGCAAACAACAGATTATTTTTGAGAGGAGTAACTAATCAGCAAACACTGCTGTGAGTTCATTAGCTCATATATATTATTTCCAGTGGGAAATGGTGACTGGTTTCCACTTGACTGACATTTCTGCTTGTTTCTTTCTCTCCTGCAGATGCATCAATCAAAGAAAACAGGATGGAGACAGTATATTTTTAGAGGCTCTTTTCTAAAAGCCTCCTCCTCCTCCTATTGTGTTTTAGTAGTAAAAGATTTAGATTCTATGAAACATACACAGCCAAATTTGCAGACTGGATTGATTATGACCTACTGGTTAGTTGGAAGCTGTAACTGTTAGTAAGAGGCTCTCATACTGTGAGACGTTTCATCTAAATTTCAAACTGACAAAATTTTGTTCTAGTCTGTTTTGTGGTTTCCAAAGCTCTAAATCCATCAGGGAACTGTGTAAGACTAGCACAAAGATTTCACCATATTTCTCTCCCAAAGATCAGCTGTAATGTGGCACAGCCCCAGATCTCACAGTGTATATCTGACAGCATCAGAAAGCTTCAAACCGAATGCCTGCCACATTGTTGGACAGTTTGTAAAACCCCCTTCAGTGCACATTCCTGACAGTGGAATCAGGAACACTCCATGTGACAAGTTTTACGACTTTGCGGTGACTGGTTAATATGTGCGGAGGTTTAAAAATAAGCAGAATTTCTCCTTGTCTCTCCAACGTTTCTGACATATTGATGTACAAACAAATACCACACCGTGAACACCTTGGAGGAAAGCCCCTCTGAACATATGCAGCAGTATTCTTATGTGAGCATCTTATCTTAGCTTCAGGATAACAGCAGGTGTTCACCTTCCTCTGATTGTGGCCAGAAGCTTCCGTGTGTGGTCTGCTGACCGAGCTCATCACTCTATTTAGCGACTCCTCTGTCTGTGTGGATGGGAGAATCTTTGAAGGGATTTCTCCCATCAGAGGTTTTCTCTAGGCTTTCAGTTCTGTCATTAAAACCTAATAATAATAAAGATGAAGGTAAGATTTTCATGGCAGATATTGACTTGCTGGCATTTTTCATTAATACAAGGACGCTGTCCGTGGTCCTGATCTCTGAAACTGGTGACCCCTTACACTGTCCTCAGGACCACACACACACAGTTGTACAGCTATGTTTGTGAGGACACTCATGGACATAATGCACTCCTTAGCCCCTAAGCCTGACCTCAACCATCAAAGCTAAATACACAATGCAAACCCTAATCTGTTTACTCAAACCCTAAAACCAAGTTTTAACCCTCAAACAGCCCTTCGAAGGTATGAGGACCAGACAAAACTCAAACTGGTCCTCACAATGCATACCCATGCAAATGCACATACACACACACACACACACACACACACACACACACACACACACACACACTCAAGGTGCATGTTCCACCGCACCACATCCGCATCATTTTCTCTGTTGACTCTGGTGTCAGTGGATTAGTTAACATAACCAGTTTATAGCTCACATCTATCATGCAAAATTTGATTTGTGCTTCCTGGATGCGAGAGAGAGAGGGGGAAGAGAAGGAGAGGGAGAGAGAGAGAGAGAGTCACTTGAAATGCTAGTACATTCTCGTGCGGAGGAAGAAGCGAGCAACCATCCGCGGAATTGCTCGAAATATCTGCACTTATCATTGAGCCCTCATCGCACACGGGACGGGGAACCTTTTCTTTTGTGTGAAAACAGCCAAAAGTCCGCATCGTTTCAGCACTTTGTCCCATCATCATTTCGGCAGCTGTGGTGCCCAGAGCCCTCGGGGTGTCTTGTATCTTCGCAGCCCCGTGAGGGCAGATTTGTCTCGCAGCCTGTCATCAACCCGGAGAGCCCGCAGCGCAGGAGCTGTATTTGGAAAGTATCGATACAATGGTAAGGTTAGGCAGAAATGGGTGAATTAAAATGGTGTTATCTAGAATTAAACATCATGTTGTTCCACGAAGTCTGATGTGAAGAAGGTGAGCATGTTAGGGAGGAGAGTGGGGATGAGCGTGCCGGCATCCTAGACCTGGGATCTGGCGGTATGTTTAGGCATGGTTCAGTGAGGAGGCTCTTTCTTTTCAGTGGCTGCTCACTGCGCACAGTTTGCACAATTACTGCAGACGGACAATGAGCATTGAATCTGAGATGACACAAAAACTGTGTGGCAATACCAGAGGAAATACGCTCGCTCTGGGTAGATGGCCTATGATCATGTGCATAAAGAGGCTCAGCCTGTTTTTAAATCTGTTTCAGCGGTTACTAAATAATAATGAGGTGTAAAGCAAGGGCAACTCATGATTTGATGCTTAAGAGTCAATGTTACATCGTGTTTGATGGAGATACCAGTTTCCTTCTATATCTGTGTCATTCATTCAGCCATACAGTACATGCGTTATTTCAGCTCTGGATCCACATCCTGTACAGCAGGCCTGTAGTTAACGGGCTTTTGAAGGAATTCAATTACTCAACAACAATATAGACCTATTTAAGGATGCAGAGTTTGGGCTCTTGTATTCCCAAAGATCATCATAATCCTCCTAATGCAACCTAGTACCAGTGAATCACAATTTCTCTTCTATCCAGGCTGTGTGTGAATTGTTTAGGGAGGTGAACCAGAACTAACAGGCCTTTCTATCAAATCTGATTTTATCCAGTGATCTGTTCTGTACATTTGACAGAGGTGGGCTTCAGCTCAGACTACTTAATGTTTATCAGTGTTTGTGTACTGCCAAAAAAACCATATCTCTCTGGCTTGATTACTGCAGATTGACTGATAAAAACAAGGCTCATCTTGAGCTATTTGTTGATTTGTGAGTCCTCAGCTGCAGCTTCATTCATGGAGAGTGATGAATGAGTGGCACATCTACCCTGAATCCTGATTTGAGACTAAACAGGTGCTGTTTGCAATAAATAAGTTAAAAAAATCCCACCATGGATGCTTGCACTCTCTTTGGGAGGTGTATTTGAATCCAGTGAGCTTGCTAAAAGCTGATTTATCCAAAAAGACAACACTGTTTGCACTTCTTTTTTGTTTAAATGTACAGTTCACATCTGGCTCAGCACATCACATAAACAATTGAATCTTGTTTAACTTTGATTGAGTTCAACCGTAGTCTGCCTACGACACATCAGTTTGACATAGCTGCTAAAACCTTTGACAATACACGAAGGATCAGGGAAGAGCTTTTCTGTCTCCCGGATCTCAGTGATGCTGACATTTAAATGGCCCAATTAGCCTGGTTATGTCAGGTGGCAGAGGAGAGAGAAGTGAAAGAGGACAGTCAGGCGTTCACATGGGGCCCAGTCTCAGCCCGTCAACCTGTAACACACAGAGTATCATGCATGAGCCTATGTAATCATATCAAGGTGATCTGCTTCTGGACGCTGATGATAAAGGCTTCTAATTATAGAAAGTGATGCTGGATATTCATTTTCTTTAATGAACACGCATGTTTGCTTGTACTGAATCTACAGTCAGTACAGAAAGTTTTCAGACCTTTTCAAGTTTTCCGCACTTTGTTTTATTTTGGACTCATCTTGAAATGGATTCAGTTCATTTTATCCTCATCAGTCTACACACAGTACTACACAATGACAGTACTCCACAATGATAAAGTGAAAACAGGTTTTTGGAGTTTTTTTCACTCGGTTAAAGCACCTTTGGCAACAATGATGGCCTCAGGTCTTCTTGAGAGTGAAGCTACAAACTCGGCACCTTTCTTTTGGAAAGTTTTTCCATTCTTCTTGGCAGAATCATTCCAGGTCAACCAGGTTGGATGGTGAGCGGCAGTGCACAGCCATGTTCAGGTCTCTCCCTAGATGCTTTTTGGGGTTCAGGTCCAGACTCTGGCTGGGCCACTCCAGGACTTTCACAGGGTTTTCTTGAAGCCACTCCTGTTTTCTTACCGTCTGACCAAGGCCCTTTGTCCCCAACTACTGAGTCTGGCTGGGTGACCAGATCTGTGAAGACTGTTGGTGGTTCGTGATCTCTTCCATCTGAGATCGATGGAGGCCACCATGCTTTTGGGCACTTTGAATGCTGCAGAAATGTGTTTGTATCTTTCCCCAGATCTATGTCTCAACACAGTCCTGTCTCGCAGGTCTGTGGATGGGTGTCTCCACCACATGGCTTTGGTTTCACTCTGACATACACCATCAGCTGTGAGACCTTATACAAACAGCTGTGTGTCTTTCCCAATTATGTCCAAGGCACTAAATTAGGCACAGGTGGACTCTACTCAAGCTGTAGAAACATCTCAACGACCACTGACAGGAGCAGGATTAACCAAAGCTTAAGTGCAAATGTCATAACAAAGTATTTGAATACTGATGTAAATGGGATCTTTGTTTTTTTATTTTTAATACATTTTCAAAACACTCCAAAACCCAGTTTTAACTTTATCATTGTGGAGTATTGTGCGTAGATTGATGTGGAAAAAATGAACTGAATTCATTTTAAGATGAGTCTGAAACTTAATGAAGTGTGGAAAACTTGAAAGGGTCTGAAAACTTTCTGTACTGACTGACAGAGTGGAATATTCATACTTTTTTAATGCTGTATTATTTAGGCTTCAATTCTTTTGGAGAATTAATATTTTTCCTCTCATGTCTTGGGAAGGTTTGCTGCTTATACTGTATGCAATTAATTGCACCTCATATTTGCAGTATTACCACTGGAAAAATATACACAGAGCACACCCCTTCGAACTGCTTTAGACAACAACAGCAATTAACATAATGAGCTACTGTAAAAACTTTTTATTATACTTACTATAAATTACAGGCCTGGAAAATGTGTGTTTGCTCAAATATAAATTTGCTTAAATAAGGATATAATCTGCCCCTGACAGCATCGTTACTGTGATGTACAGTATCAAAATACTTGGTGACCTCTTCTGCCTTAAAGTAATTGCAGCATCTTTTATCTACCACCTGCTTTTAAAGACGATGCGACATGTTACTGGCTGTTAGTGAAGCTTACTTTCTTCTTCCTGCGATTGATACACTACTGCCAATATTCACAATGACCTGCCTGATGAAAGTAACCAAACCCCTGGCCCACGAAGCACCCATTTGAAAGTGGTGCTTTTCTCACAAGCCACCTACTTGACCGGAAATGTTGACGAGGTATCACAGCGTTGCTCACATAAAAACCAACAATGGTGCTGTTCGGTGTGTTTGCAAAGTGGAAATGCACAGCAGACCTGATGCAGCTGAAGCGAACTGTATCAAGCCCAGGCAAAGGGGCAAACACATTTCATCTGATGTCTTTGAGCAGATGTTTGAACTGGCCAAACACAATAATGTTTTGCATGTAGTGGCAGTCTGGATTATCTTATTCCAATCCAGTCGTGAAACCTAAGCAGTAATGTGGAACTAGTCTGCTGTCAGCCCTAAAGAGATGACTCAGGCTGTAGTTGCTGGTGCATCAGCAGTCACAGGACTGAGAGACGTCTCCAGCTGCTCCGGCTCCTCTTCCGTGTCATACCTGTCCTGCGTATGATTATGATTACAGTCCCCTGTGGCCCAGTTGCATTTGTTTCTGACAGATGTGGAAGTAGTTTTCAAATGTCAAATTAGAAGAAATACCACTATGTGAAAATTAATATTAATTTTCTGCATTGTTTGTTTCAGGCAGTGAGACGGCCAAAGGAAGGCCGGCTTGAGTTAATGATATGTGAGCCTGAAGGCCTGTCACACAGTATGAGAGTGCATGACAGTTTCTAATACTGTCAGACGAGATTTTAGTCTGAAAAGTTGTCATAGCACCGGTCATTTCATCATGTCAGGCTAGCTGTGTCCTTGTTTCCAGGTTTTGTGCTAAACTAACTGCTAAAAGCAAGAAAGCAAATAAGGATGTTTCTCAAAATGTTATTTGCTGTTACATAAGTAAGAGGACTGTGCTTCAAATTTGCTACTACTTAGTTTTTAGTTAGTTGTGGATGGAATCTGGGTACAGGATCTGGTAGTTACTCTAGCTATTTAAACCTTTTCTTAATGTTTGCCTCTTCTGTCTTTGCCCCGGGCTTGTGACTCCACAGCTCCCCAGTGAATCATGGGAAAAACAGGAGAGAATGGGAACAAGAAACCAGGACAGGTTTCTCTCTCTCTCTGTAATATGTGCACCTCCCCAAAATAATGAAGAAAAAGTCATGTCTGTGTATATTAATTCCTCCCATAATTCATTGGGCTAAATATAAAGACTTAAGTGACTTACTGTGAGATTTAGCGCAGGACTAACACATTAGAAGGTTATGAATTTCTGAAATGATCTTTCTTTTTCTGAAATAGGATTTGGTGTTAGGGTGTGTGTGTGTCAGATAAGGCTGGGGAGAGATGTTGTGGAAGCAGAAGAGTTTGGGGTTGAAGGTCTTGTAGTGGGTAGAGGGGGATAAACCACTGCATGCCTTTGCTCGGCAGACCGCAACAGCTGTCAAAGCCTGGCCCAAACCTGAGGAACAGAACTGCTCCCTGTGTCCCAGCAACATGAAAGAGGCTCACTTCTTCTTTTCTCCCCTTTTTTTCCCTTTCTGACATCTCATTAAAGATTTCAAAGCCTTTCTCACGTCATTGTGCCAGTGTTATAGGTGAAGGATCATTAAGAAACTCTCACTTCTTGTTTCCTGCTTATTCTCGGGAGAGTAAGCAGGAAACGAACCGAGAGGAATCGTTGCTCTTAACACAAACACCCACTCACTTTCTGAAGGAAGCCGCTTCTTCTTTTAGGTCCCTCTGCCTTTGCTTTTCCGTTTTCTGCTCCTGGGTGAAATTTTACACTGAAAACAAGTAGTTATTAGGGGTATTAGAAACCTAAAGTAAAGACCAGTGTGTGGGTGCTTCTTTAATTATGTGTGTGCTGTTTAGACAGATCATCAAGCATTGCAAACACACTCAGGCTCACAGTGTTGAACACAGAAGCTGCTGAGACTCATTATGCCACCGAGACACAAACAAGGATTCATTTTCAACTGATTTTTTAAATCGTATAGAAAATTATAAAAACTGAATTTTTATAGCAAATGTTCATTTACTTAATATTAAAAAGTACTCTTTATATATGTACAATATATATATA